AGACGATTGCAGCATTACAGCAAGAAAACATCAAGTTATCAGAAACCATCAAGAGTCTGTTTGCTGTGCCTCAGAAAATGGAGGCCGCGTATCAGAATACCAACGAGAAAGCTACGCAGTTGGAGTCTGAGCTAACCGCTGAAAGGAAAAAGGTGGAGCAGGATGAGAAAATGGCAGCGCTTAAACAAGAAAATTTCAGATTATCAGAAAATCTGCAGAGATGTGCCTCTGAGCTTGAAAAAATGGAGGCAGAGCTTAAATCTGCCAATGAGAAAGCTCGGCACCTGGAGACTGTGGTTATTCGTATGGAGCAAAGGGAGCAGGAGGCTGTGATCTGCTTAAGCTTAAAAGACAAGCAGATCGCAGCACTTCAACAAGAAAACATCAAATTATCCGAAAGCCTGCAGAGGAAAGCAGTACAGGAAGCAAAAGCAAAGGAGACTGAGATCTGCTTAGCCAAACAAGTCCAGGAAACCAGAGAAATAAAGGCTACTTTGGTCAAAATGGAGAAAGATTTGGAGGAACAGCAGCGCCAGTGGGAGGAAGAAAAATCCCATCTTATGTCCAACCAACAACAAAGAGATGAGGTGGAAGAGCTGAAAAACCAGTTGGAGTTCCAGAAGTCTGAGTTAGAACAGTTAGAACACTCTCTGTGTCTGAAAAATTTAGAAAACAAACAATTACATCAGGACGCTGCAAGAAAAGTCATACAACTGGAAAAGAGTTTGCTTGCTGAGAAAGCCAAAACAAAGGAGGCTGAGAGCTGCTTATTCAAACATGTCGAGAAAACCAGAGAATTAAAGGATACTTTGGTCAAAATGGAGAAAGATTTGAAGGAAAAGCTGCGCTGGTTGGAGGAAGAAAAATCCCATCTTATGGCCAACCAACAATCAAGACATGAGGTGAAACAGCTGAAAGACCAGTTGGAGTTCCAGAAAGCTGAGTTAGAACAGTTAGAACGTTCTCTGCATCTGAAAAAGCTGGAAAACAAACAATTACATCAGGACGCTGCAAAACTGGAAAAGAGTCTGCTTGCTGAGAAAGCCAAAACAAAGGAGGATGAGAGGTGCTTAGCTGAGAAAGAGCAGGAAACCAGTGACTTAAAGGCTGCTTTGCTGAAGAAGGAACAAAATATGAAGAAGCAAACACAGCTCAGGGACGAGGTAATAGTCGGCCTTTTGATGGAACTCCAAAACCTGCAACAGGAGATAGAAAGAAAACCAGAAAAGAAATCTTTAAGGAAAAGAATTGCCAACCTCTTTAAAAGCCATCAGGGAGGAAAATAATTTCTTTTAAACCTCAAGAAAACTGTCCTCCAAACAAACTTGAAACTGACAAAAATATTTACTGAATCTCAAACCTTAACCCTTCACACTTTATGTGGGTTTACTGACAACTTCAAGTTTGTTAACCCTGTGAAGAGAGAAACATTCCATTTTAGGTTTGCGAGTCACTGGTTACCATGGAAACGAGTCAGACAATTTCGGATAACTTGCTTTGCTTAGCGACAGTACGGTGTATAAAACGGATAATGTATCACTCAGGAACTCCCGAATTGGAAGTTATAACTCCAACTGTATTATACTTTGGTTTAATTGTTTAAACCGTCTCCATAGCCTCACTGAGTTGCTCTTTACAGTAAGCGTCTTTTTTGAAAGCTACTTTTTCATCTGTGGGGCTGCACAGTGTGGCAGTGGGTAGCACTGCTGTGTGTTTAGCACATTATACATCAACAACTGCCATGTAAGAAACCATTTTTTAAGCCAAGGTGGAAAACATTGTTATAATCTACCATATGTGTAATGATGGTGCAAATAAGGCTGGATGATATAGAAAAAAGGCATATCGATAAAATAGAAATCATATTGTTCGATACCGGTAGTTATCAAAAAAATTCAAAACATACATTTTAAGTATAGCCATGACCATTTTATGCTGCTGCTTAGTGCTGAAATAAAATGGATTTAAACACAATCCTGCATTCAACCAACATTTTAACAAAACTCTAAGTCTGAAAAAAGAAAAAAAAAAAAGAACATGTGCTCTGAACTTTTTGAAGGCTGGCAGAGCTTTCCCGGGTCTGCATTTGTGATTGGTTGGGAGGATGTCATTTTTTTTCTCCATCTATTGAACCACACTTCTATCGATCAATATATATTGTTAGGTGCAAATAGTCTGAGTATGTGTATTAAGACTAACTGATTCTTCTTGCCTTTTATCAGGTTATGTTTTGTCCATTTTATGGTGGGAACCTTCATGTTGTTCTATCCTATTGTGGCTCATGTGGCAGAAATATTGAGTTTTTAAAGACTCATCAAGTTGACGGTATGTTTTTCTCTGAAAGTTGTTGATATCATATAAATTACTGACTTTGTACTGTTTATTCATCACTCAGTAAATATATATTCTTAGATCTATTGTCTTATTTCTTCCCCTCAGATCGTCAAGCCACAACTGCAGAAGATCTTATCGTGAAGTATTTCACGGAGGGCCACAGTTACTGTATGAAGTAATAAGAGACTTCCTTGCTGCCAAACACAATATTTCAGTTAGTCTGAGTACTTTAAAAAGAAGATTACAAAGTGCAGGCCTGACCAGAAGGACAAAGTACACACCAATTGCTACTGTGCATGCAGCTATTTCTGAGGAACTTAAGGGATCAGGCCAACTGCTGGGTTACCGAGCAATGTGGCAGACCCTTAAACAGAAGTATTCTCTTATCATTAGAAGAAGGGATGTGATGCAACTAATGAGAGAATTGGATCCGTCTGGAGTAGAAAACAGGTCTAGACGAAGATTTGTCCGCAGAGCATATCATTCAGTGGGACCCAATGAAACTTGGCATGTTGATGGGTATGACAAATTTAAACCCTATGGAATTGCAATAAGTGGCTGCATTCATGGGTTCTCCAGAAAAATACTTTGGCTCAAATGTGGAAAGTCCAACAATGATCCTGGGATTATTGCTCAAAATTATATGGAGTGCATTTCTGAGTTTGGAGTTTTACCAATGCGCCTCCGTACAGACTTCGGAACAGAAAATGGACTGATGGCAGCACTTCACAGTTCCTTGAGATCAGTGCACACAGATGAATTTGCAGGAGCCAAAAGCCACATGCATGGGACTTCAACGTCCAACCAACGTATTGAAAGCTAGTGGTCCTACTTTCGGAAACAAAGGTTATTGTCACATATTTCAATTTGTTGAAGTTATTATGAATTAATGATGCATCTACTTGACATTTCTGTGTCTGTTGCATGTGATTATTCTGATCTATATACACACCTTTAGTTCTGGGTTTATCATGTGCACTAGTGTCAGCCTGAGACTATCTGTGTTAATTTTAAAATTGCTTTCTTATAACTACTTCTTTAACTATTAAAAATTGCAGTAGATTTCTAAAAGCAACTTCCATAATTATTTAGTGCTTTTTTGGGGCCATAGTCCATGTTAATAAAACGCTTGTACTTTAACTAGGAGTCAGTTCTGGATGGATCTGCTCAGCGACTTGAGGGAAAGGCACCTCTTCAATGGCAGCAGACAACACATGCGTCTGGTGCGATACTGTTTCCTGGGAGTTCTTCAGAATGAACTGGACCAACACAAACATCTATGGAACACTCACACTATTCTCCCTGTTCGCCAGTCCAAGTGCCCATCTGGTAAACCTGAAGCTATGTATCACCTGCCTCACAGGTGAGTAATGCAATTTCATGTTAAAACAGAAGGATAATTGGATAATGTTTTTTATTATAAAGCATACATCTATTTTAATTTCATAGGGACAGATACAAGAAACATAGATCAGGAGAATTTGATGCAAGCGTCACATCATTTGTAGCCATAACTAATTCGCAACACCATCCCTAGAAGGATTTTTAACAGTTGGTTTATATAAAAAGTTAAAGCTGAGGCATGCAACGTTCATGGAAAATATGGCTTTTAGATATTTGTTGAAATTATCATTGTGTCATCACAGCATAAGACAGGTAATCTATGGAAGAAATTCAGGCTCCTCTGCCTTCTCCTAGCATTAACTGCAGCAAAAAGCATACTTTTGTAAAACTTGCATACTGCAGCCTTAAGACCAACAGTAAATACAATAAAATGACCCAACAGATGTAAAATAATGTTTTTAAAACTATTGAATCAAAATAATTTAAAAATATTTAAAAATTAGAAAAGTTTCTGGTTCACCATCAACCAATTCCCAAGCTTTGAAGTCAATATTTTAATGTGAGTTGAGTTTGTTGTGCTTTTAACCCAACACCCTTTGGGGAGCAGTGGGCTGCCATGTGCAGCGCCCGGGGAGCAATCTGGGGGTTAAGGGTCTTGCTCAAGGACCCAGAGAGCAGGCGCTGGTAATCGAACAGCGTACTTGCATCCTTCTCTGAGTGCAAGCGCGCTGCTCTAATCACTAGGCCAACACTCCCCTAAATGAGATGGTAGTGAGTTCCAAATCTCACAACTAAGCTTAATTTTTGCAACTGTCAGTAAATTTGGACTTTTTTTCGTACTTTCTCAGATTCAACGGCAGAAACTGTGGATTCCCTGCATCTGCACAAGCCTTGAGCCAGTTAAACACCCTCATGCCCGCGGCAGGAACTCAAAATGATGATGATGACGAACAAGAAAATTGCTTTGAAGAACTGCAGCGACAAAGTGGTTTGTCACCTCCTCTTCAATGGGAAGCTGCCGTACAACTCTACATCACTCTGAAGAACATGGCTGATCTATAAAATGTTAAGACTGTAAAATAAACAACAATGTAAACAGAAAAGTCATTCAGGTTTTGTTTTATTTTTTTTTTTACAAGCAATACAGCAACTGTTGCTTAAAATGACAAAATAAAGACTGTTATAAACAGTTGGTTTCAACAATATCATTGAAACATTGTGTTGTCTTCCAGACCAAACTACACAACAAAACAGAGGCATTTAGGAAGAAACAAATGCAGTACAACTAATATATGTATATACACACACATATAACCCACACAACTAGAATTCAAAACTTTTACAGATCTGGCCCAAAATATCAACAGCTGCATGCTGACTAAAGGCATCCAAAGCCAGGGGAATTCTTAATCCCAAAGTTCATACTGTGCTTGAATGTAATGTAGCTGTCCAAGAGGGGCAGCTTTAAAGTGTTGGCACATGTATTTGCCATAGGGAAGTTTGAGGTGTAAATATATTCAAGACATGGCTGAGGGTCCATACCAGCAGGAGGAATAGATGGCACACCTGTGGCAAACATAAGGACATCCTCCAGGGTCACCTCACTGTTATGTTCTGAAAGTAGAAATAAATACCAACACCAAGACATCATAAGTAGTTAATTTTCATTGGAATTAGTGTGATGTGGAACAAATAAACCAACCTTCACAGTCAAGGAGGTAGTCGGCCCAGTAACTTGTTGTCTTGTTCTCCTGGGCTCTCCGGTTGCTGCCATCTGGACTAAGCTCTGGTCGGAAGAGATGTTCGATTTTCACAGCAGAAAACTTTTTCTCAGAATGGCACAAGACAGGAGTCAGCGCCATAGGAAATTGCTGCAGGGCTGTTAAAAACTGCAAAGTAGCAAGTCCATTCTTGAATCTGAAATGCAATAACAGGTTGCTTAGGAAATTAAAAGTACAATTTGTATCAGCTACTAAGCATTCAAATGAAACACCTGTTTTATACCACTCAGTTATTGCATTTACTTTTTATAATCAGAATCACTTTAAAAATCCCAACGCGAAATTATTTTTGTGACACGCTCCAGACATACAAAAAAATTATATATATATATATATATATATATATATATATATATATATATATATATATATATATTTGCACATCGTCACTATCACTTTAAGTTAGATCTATAGATAGATCTGATTTAAAGTGATAGTGACGATGTGCAAAAAAAAGTGACGATGACAATGTGCAAAAAAGAAATTAATAAATGAATAAATGTCAATACAGAGGGGTTGTGTCTGAATCACTGAGGGAGGCGTTGTAGAGATTGCTGACCACAGGCATCAATCTGGCGCTCTGTGGTGCATCTAGGAAAGAGGAGTCTTCTGCTAAAAGAAAAAGCAACATCGGCAATAACAAAAAACAACTACCTTTCGATTGCACTGTGATTCCTTTCAATGTACCACCTGAGGAACTCATTCACTATGGAGTGCTTTTCCTCCAATGAATTAACACGGTTTAAGCACCCTGCAGTCTGCAACATGGTACTGTGCAGTACCATTAAGTCTCCAAGGGTCTGCAATGAGGAAGCATTCTGGATCTGAAAAAAATAGAAGATGAACTTTACTACTTTCAGATAAAAGAAATTAATTATATATAAATAGAAATATCAAAATAATCCATTGAAATAACATTTCAAAACAGATAAAAACACTTACATTTATAGCACACAACCTCAAGTATTGACCATCATACCCCTCGTAACACTTTCCCTATTTCTTCATCTGTAACGTCTGTTACAGATGAGTGGAAACTGGACTGCCCTGAGATGTAGTTGACCAAGTCCCTTGAAAGGAAATTTGGGCCAGGTCCACCATGTACTATGGACATGACAATCATCTTCCCTGCCAAACTATACACATCCTCTCTGATTGCTGCTCATGAAAATGCAGAATACTTTAGTGGTCAATCATTTTAAATTACACAAACATGACATTGTTGAATAATTTAGTTATATTAAAACATTCCACACAAAATAGTACCATTGGAATTGTAGACAAGAAAGCGACTTTCTGCAGGTCCATCAAATATGGATCGTTCCTTCAGAGTTTTCATCAGGAGTGAGAGGAATTCCCTTTTTGGTCCACCTGTATCAATACCATCCTCAAACCTGCCAGCATCATCTGAAAACTTCACTTGGAGATCCTTCTTTTCAGAGAATGTTGCCCTTTTGAATCCTCTGACGGCTCCATCTCATATGTCAGACCGGCCGATGTTAAGTCTGTTTACAGCATGGTGATCAATTTGGATTGCCAGGTTTGCAATTATTTGTGGTGCTGAGAGCTTTTCCACCCTACCGATAGACAAATAGTGACTATGGTCATACTACTGTATAACTTTAAGCATGACAGCTGATGTGTTTAACCTGAAAAACTAAATTTATAAGAACTATTAATTTCTTACTCTGAATCCTCTGGAAGATCAAGACTGTCTGCATCACTCCCTGAGTCCTCTTCATCGTTGATTATAATGGGAGCATACAGTTCTGTGTATCTGCTAAAATACACAGAACAGAGGATCATCATTGTCATGATGATAATTAGTCCGTGGGCCAGAATCTGTAGGACGTCTCCTTAAGAACTTTCATATGAACTGTCAGGGGGCAACTTTCTTGCACTTGGATAAGTTGCTACATGTAGCAGTGATCTAAAAAAAACAATGTTCCCACGTTTTCACTTGCACATTAATGAGTTATAGCCGATAAAAAATAATGTTGCGCTCCAGTCCAAGAATTCACGTGATTTGAGTTTTGCTGATCAGCCAATCAGATCGCTGTATTGTCAGCTGTGCGAGTTCAACCAGTTCATCATGGCTCTGCCTGTAAGGTGTTTGTATGCATCTGTTTCCAGACGAAGAAAGCACAATAATAAAATTTTCTGGTTCCAGTTGGCAGAGATCTTGATGGTGAGGAAAAGGAAATAACCCTGTCCACCCATCCATCCATCCATTTTCTAACACGCTTGCCGGTGCCGATCTCCAGCTGTCAGTGGGCGAGAGGTGGGGTACACCCTGGAAAGGTTGCCAGTCAATCGCAGGGCAGAAATAGTCCAGACTTTTGCCCAATTTACTGTGGTATCACCAAGACCTGCTGTGTTAGGATAGCACAGGCACAGCGCGTATCAGTTTAGATTTTTTTATCGGCTATAAGTTATTAATGTGCAAGTGAAAATGTGGGAACATTGTTTTTTTTTAGATCACTGCTACATGTAGCAACTTGCAAAGTGCAAGAAAGTGGCCCCTTGACAGTTCATACGAAAAGTCACCCTACAGATTCTGGCCCACGGCCTAAATGATGATCCTGTAATCAATCATAACAATTCAAATCAGGAGAGAAAAGAATACCTATAGCCATAGGCGGATCTACTGGGGTGGCAAATGCCACCCTAAATGAAAGCCTTGCCACCCCTGCTGCCACCCCAGTTGGCGGTAGGGGTGGCAAGGCTTATAAATTATGGCTCATTTGAGAATTACGACCGCTAATTTCCAATGTCGGACTGCAGTGAATGCAGCATGAGATGACGCGAGAGCGACTGAGACTGATTGTTTTGAAAACCAAATGGGGCAAAGCGAGGGAGCCAGGGGTCATGGGGAGAGGAGACACGGAAAGAAACAGGTAAAAACTGATTAACTATCTATCGAGAAATTAAATTATAATGAAAGCACAATGTTGCTAGCATAGCTGCAATGCTGATTTTGAGATGATAAAAATCAGGTTGCAGAACGATATTCCTCTATCCATGATGTTAGTTAGGCCTGACGTCTCAGGCTCATAAAGACATATTTGCGGTCAACTATGACAGAAAAGAGACGATCAAGTTTGATTGTACTCAAATCAAAACGCACAAAGGCATTGGATCTAAATAAATTAGTGAAGCGTTTTGCTGAGCAGCATGGAAATCACTGCATTCAGCTGTTATAGTCATGTTAACTTTATGTTATGCTCTCTGGTGAGCCTTTACAGAGCTGCTACATTTTGATATTTCCTTTAATAAAACCAAAAGTGTTAAAAGTTAAAAATGTGATACTGGTGTAAATCCTGCTTAATATGAAGCAGTGTTGTTGTTTCTTTTTTTGTATATATAGTATGAAACTATCCAGAAATGACCTGTATGAACCTACTCACAAGCAAAATGTATTTTTTATGTTGCTTCTTTTCAGATTTGTGGAGATTTTGATGTAACATACAGAACCCGCGTTTTTGTTGATTTGTTGATACAGCAGTATGGAGGACCAACTCTGCCATATTTAAAATAAATAAGCATACAATTAATTGCCACCAAAAATACAAACAACAAATAAATGTAAGTAGAAATTAAATTATACAGCTAGTCATAAAGGTATATAACTCTTTTAATTGGCTTCTTTATTTCTTTGCCTTTTTAATATTTACCTTATTTATTTTTTTGTCATTTATTATCTTCAACTTCATTTTTTAATTACTTATATTTTTAAGTATTTATTTATGTAAATGTTATAATATTTTTGTCTGTTTTATTCTTCCTTTGTATTTTTTTTACCCTAGTTATTTCTTCGCCGCTATTTCTTTCTGCCTGCCCTTTTAACATTTCTGCCTGCCATTATAATATAATTTCTAATTACATTTATTTGTTGATTGTATTTTTGGTGGCAATTAATTGTATGCTTATTTATTTATTGAGCATTTATTTTTATTTCTGTATTTATTTTTAAAATACGGCAGAGTTGGTCCTCCATATACAGCTCTATCTACAGCATATTTACATGCATGAAATGTCCCTTTCATGTTGCCTTAACTGCTGTATGTCAAGTTACTGAGGAACAAATGGGGTAAATCTGTGTTCAGAGTAAACATTACATAGATGTCCAGTACCTTGTTCGGGTGCCTTGACCCATTTATTTCTACTGTGTAGTTCTGCTCACTTTAGTACAGCTCAGTCCATAGATCTCTGATCAGTAACTTTTTCTTTCTATCATTTCTTCTTGTGCAAATGCTGCAAAGCTTCCTCTCTGACAGTCAATCTCACACATCTGCGACTCAGCACCTGTGTCTTACCTTAATACCTTTCCTGTGATAATGCCCCTCTAGAAGTAGTGTTATCATTCTTCTATCTCCTATTAAGTGAGATCACATTGTACGATGTATTATTAATATGAACTGTTTCACATGAAACACTAGTACTGTACATACTATTCTCACCAAACTGTGATAACTGTGATTAAATTCAGTGTAAACAAATGCCATATGTTGCCACCCCTAAAAAATTCCTGCCCCCCTCTTGCCACCCCATAAATATTTTTCTAGATCCGCCCCTGCCTATAGCACATAGTTTCTATTGCATCCATTGTATTTTCTGGGTCCTCTTCTCCACCGGAAAGTAAGATCTGTATAAAAACCATAAGAAGGATTAGACTTGGCAAATAAAAGCACTTAAAGGTGTATGGCTAATGGTATCAGACCTATTCAGAACCACATTGCTCCAATGTAAGCAAATATGGTTGACAATGAAGCCTTTCTTTCCTGTTACTTTATGTACCATAAGACAAATTAATTGTAGATTTTTTTAAAGACAAGGCTTCATATGAACAAGACATATTACAGTTAAAATGGACTAGTCGCATATAGTGACTTTACAAATTTTACTCTGGTTGCATACGAAGGCCTTCCAATAAAGTGTAGTACACTGTTGGCTTATTGTATTCTATTTTTGCATTCTAAAGTTTTTGTTTGCTTCATTTCTTGCTTTAGTTTTTCCTGTATTTACCCTAACAAGATAGTGTGACCAGTTATTATATTGTGCATTCTTGCAGTGACTAAACAAGGAAGTAATGGAGTCAAGCAAGCCAGTGTTTCCCCAAGGGGTGTGTAAAAAGAAAGTGGAAAAGTCCAAGATCAAGCGTGATAAAGCACCAAAAAATAGAAATGACAATGTTAATGTCTGCCTATTGTGCAAATACTTTGTTCAGACTCAAAGGGGATGATGTAAACACTATCGGGACGGACACTTGGCATAGATCAGCTTATTTTATCATGAACATGTGTTTTTTGCTTTTTTGCTTTGTTTTTTATAATCATAGTACATGATTGGGCCCCTGAAGAAGTCATATATTACTGGAGCTGCTGAATCCAAGTCTGAAGATTCCTTGCCATGATCACTGGTGCTATGCAAGTTGGGTCCAAATGGCTGGATAAAGAAAAGAAATATGTCTCATAAATGCACTTAAGATTTGTTTAACAAAACAAACTTCATTCCAGAACTTCTTCTGAAGTTCTGGAATGAGGCCAATGTACTACTTCCTGAGCTTCCTGGCTCTGTGAATGGATTGCTGTTAATCCTTTCATTCACCCATCTAGTGGTGGTTTCTGATATAGATGACATGGGTGGCTACCCTGGGGTCCATCAGAGAAACATAAATTACAAATCATAGGTACCAGGTGGGGCGGGGGGCTGTTCTGGGTACACTGCTCACCTAG